CAAACCCGACATCTTCTAGTGTTTGAGCACACTGAGGCAAAACACGTCTTAAACAATTTATATGCTTATTAAAATCCACTTCCCGATAAGCTTTTACAGCCTTCCAGTATATCCATTTGTGATTTTTTATACCAGCAGACCTTGATTTTAGATTTCTATACAAATGAACACCACAAAGTCCATGAAAAGCATCTGGGAAACACCTTCTAACAGCGTTGTCAATTGAGTTTGCCCTATCGGATATGATTGTCAGATTGCTGATAGGACCTATGCAATCCCTAAGATACCCCATAAACCATGTCCATGAATCAGAGGTTTCAGATTTGCCAACCCCGTAAGCTATTGGCAATATCCCATTGTTAGCATCCATGACTACTGCTAATAAGTTTACTCTAAGGTATCGACCTTTCAAATGTGCTCCGTCAACTATAATAACTGGGCGCATGCAAGTAATAAACGAACGAATCTACAAAATAATATACACAAGAAATATAATCATTTAAATGTGAAATGCATGTAACTAACAAAAATGAGTTAACAAAATTATATTGATTTACTAACCGCAGCACCAATGGCGATAAACAACAACTCAAAGCGTCCATCTCTATCTGTTTTGATATGAGTTACCGACCCAGGATTTTTTAGCTTTAAATTGTGACAATAAGCCGGCAATTGGGCAAACGATGCTTCTGGCGACCCCCTCAACAATTCCAAGGCATAACATTTGGCTCTCCAATCTTGAGAATATGAGATACCAATCTTGAACCGAGCATTCATGTCAGTCATAATTTCATGTCCCCGATATACCCTACCATTCAAAAACATTAACTCAGCCAGAAAACCACCCAACACCTTTTTGTTTGTCTGTCTATGGTGAGGAAAAACTTGGGTTCTTGAACATGTATGTTTATCAATAAAAGTCCTAACTTGAAACATTTTGCAATCTTTTATCCTCTTTGCAATCATACGCCACATACAGTTTTTGTCAATCATACACCTTGTTTCGAAACGATCTTTGCTTTATTTGTTAACTTTTAATTGATAGCCATCTTCCACACATTTCGTATACAAAGCTATCTTCAAGTCTTCATTTGTATCAAAACAATCATCTTTCTTGATACGAATAATTTTTGTGTAACAATCAACTGCTATCTTTACCAACTCTTCTTCCGGTATCTGAAGTAATTCTGGCATATTCCAGTTATACTCTCGTGGCATTTTCTTCGGGGAATTTTCTTCGGGGATTTCTTCTTATTCTTTTTCTTCTTCAGGGTTATATGAATTACAGAATGGATGTTCAACATGTTAATTCACAGTCGTAACTTCCTCCTCAGTATCATCAACAACATCTTCCTCGGCAACGGTTGTTTCATCATCAAAATTCGGGTATTGACCAATATCAAAATCATTACACGCAGGGTCTGTTTCTTCTTCTGAAACATCATCAAAATCCGAGTATTGACCAAGATCAAAGTCTGGGTATTGACTAAGATCAAATTTTGAATACTGACTAGTACTTACAATTTTTTCTGTTGGCTCATCATCGTCTAACTGGTCAATACGAAAACCGGAATTTGGTGTTGAAAGTTGATTGGGATTTGGATTAGGGAAAGGTTGTGGGTTTTGAGATTGTGTTTGGTATTGGAAATGTGGTGAAACAAAATTTGTTTGGTGATGAAATTGTGGTGGAACCATTAAATTTTGAGCACCATAAACTGGGGTTGAAAAACTTAGTTAATTACTACCCGCTACTGACCCAACTTCACTACTTATAGGTTCAACATCTTCATTGTCGGTTAACAAATAAACTTTACATTTTCTCTGATAAGATAGCCTAAATCCACTTAGGGGCTCTAAATTCAATTTATTTGCAACACGTAACATTAGAGTTTCATAAGTTAACTTTTTTAATGACAGTTTTAGTTGAAGATTCATGGGTAAAGGCATATATTGTAAAACACCATGAACATTCTCCCATGACCCTCCAAAACACAAATCTATCCAAACATGATCAACATTAGATGATTTCATTATTGTAAATTAATTTACTAAACAAACGAGCTGCGAAACTAAAAACTGTTGCCGGATGGGGAAGGATGTCGTTGGATATAGGAACGGATGTCGTCGGAGAGAGTGATAGATGGAGATAGAATGAGTTGTGATTTAGGGATTTAGGTTATGAGTTGCTGCTGCTGCGTAGTTATATACCTAAAACAGTTGTGTTGCGAAACTAAAATCTATTGCGAATTTGAAATTCAGTGTTGCGATAGTCAGAATCGCGTTGCGATAGTTAGAATCGCGTTGCGATAGTCAGAATCGCGTTGCGATTTACATATTCGCATTGCGATAGTCAAAATCGCGTTGCGAATCTGGAAACTGATTTGCGATACAGGAGATCGCGTTGCGATTTAGAGACGCATTGCGATTTTGTTGGTCATTTTGGCAAATCGAAAAAAATTTGGTCAAAATCGTATATTATAAGGCATTTTCGGTCATTGAGGTTATTTTCTCTTAAAAATATTAGGTTGATATGGGGATAGGAGAGGGAGTATCCGCACTCGATCCGCCCGTTTGCCATCCCTACTGCCATACTTAATATATTTTTACTACTAAACTAAAATTTTAAAAAAATAATTATTACATATAAATTAAATGTATAAAAAGTTATTTCACGAAGATTTAGTTGTAACATGCATGCCTAAATTATGACTTTTATTTTAAATTAATCTCTTTAAACAATTTAATTTTTATCTTTAAATTACAACTCTCACTTTAAATCGATCCACAAAATTTTATACATTCCAATAATATCCCACTAAATCATTCAGAACGTCAAGGTTAAAATTAGAATATTTAAAAGTTTGGGATTAATATAGAATGAGGGTTATAGTTTGAAGATGAATTTAGTATGTTCAAAAGTTTTGGGACTAATTTAAAATAAAAGTATAGTTTGAGGATGAAATTATAATATTTAAAAGTTTAGGATCCAATTTGAAATGAGGATCATAGTTTAGGGACATGTGGATTAATTAACTCTTTCAAGAATGTATAAAATAATTTTTATAAAATATTAAAAATTTAAATTTATGAATTAAACTTAAACAAACTAAGTTCTCAGATTAATAATTTAATATGAATAAAAAAAATTCAGGGAATGCTACTGTTATCCCTTTTATGGATCTCCTTAAGCATTTGACTTTATCTTTATTAAAACAGTTAAATCCATTTATGTTTTTTTGTTTGTTTTAGGGTTGGATTTGACATCGTTACAATTGTTTAATATGGTGTTTATTTGTTATTGTGGTGATATTTTTTGTTTTGGATTATGTTATTAGATTTGGATACACGATGTGCATTCGTGAATAGTTTTCTCGCGTCGTTCGACTCTGATTTATGATTTGTAAATATTTTTTCAATAATTTAATCTATTTTTATAGTTCGTCTATTCGTATTATCATATTTGTTCGTATCTAACTTTTATTCGAATTTTTTTAGTTAGTTTTTTTAACTTTTTCATTGTATTATATAATTATTTTGTAAATTTGAGTGACTAGTTTGTTGTCTTAATAATTATAAAAAATTGTCCTTATTATAGGTTTAATTTACAATATTGATTATAATTTTTTTATTATAATTATAAATATTTAACCTTTTTAAGAAAATTAGGTACAAGTATCTTACTCATAAAATACGTGCACGATGGTTAGTCTCATAATAATATAAAAATAAAATTTATGTTTTCTATAAAATAACATTAATTATATAATATAATATTTGTTATTAATATGACGTATTAATAAATTAATGTAGTTTTATTTGAATTATTGTATTTAATCCGTCATAGTTTATATCTTATTTATATTTACTAACAAATATAAAAAATAATTTAACATACAAGTTTTAAATTTTATAAATTTAAGGTTTTGGGTTTAAAAGTTAAGATTAAGGATTTACGTAATATTATGGGATATAATATCCAATTCATCTTTTTTTTATGCAAGTGACAGTCAAAATTATATGAATTTTATTTTAAAAATATGTATGGTATATGTTAGTATAAGAGATATTATCTTAAAATCTCGTCACGTATACAAAAGAGTATCCTACAAAATATACCTTTTGAAAATATGCTTATACAAAAACGTGTCTTATTGAAAAGGGTACAATTTAGGTAAGACAAAAAGGTAAAGTACACAAATATTTTTCGTTTATAAGGTATTATCTTATTAAGTCATTTAACTATTAAAAGTTATAAAATGATTATGATACTTAAGATACTGTTTTATTGAGTTTATCGATTATTAAAAGTTATAAAATAATAATCCGATTATTAATGTGTTGCAAGTTCGTTCTTTTTCATTAAAAATTTGATGTATGTCCGAGTTATACGTTAACTTACTAATTGAAATATGATAAAATCATATTTTAAAGATTTTTATTGATACCACCATTACTTTCAAGCAGTGACTTGTCAGCATAATGTTTTAAGCACTCGTTTAATATCACAATATAAATGAATATTTGATTTATAAAATATAACTAAAATGATTATTAGATCAAATTTTATCGTATCTCAGTCAACAAGTTAACGTCTATCTCAGACGACCACCAATTTTTTTAATGAAAAATGATAAGTTTGGAACATATAAATAGTATGATGATTATTTTGTAACTTTTAATAGTTGAAAGACGCAACAAAATAACATCCTATAATTAAAGGATCATTTTATAACTTTTAATAGTAAAGTGTTTCTACAAAATAACATCTTATAAATGGGCTTAAGTATTATTTTAATGAATTAATAAAGGTCGACAAACAGAATGTCGCCACGTCATATCAATAATTAGACAATGAAGCGTGGCAGGAATCTACCGGTAGAAACACTGGACTACGTTATTAGTTACCGCACCTGAATAAAACACAGACGTCGCGCGGTGCTGAAGCTTGAGCTTGAAGTCAATCAGTCTATCTTAGAACTTCAACAGTTAACTGTTTAACTTTCCCTTTTCTGTTTTTTTCACTCACTTTTTTCTCGCTTCCCAAACACAGAAAACCCTTAATTTTCTTTATTTCTTTTGTTTCGTTTTCATTTCTACTTTGATTCCCCTCTTTTGCTCAGCCAATTAAATTTCGGAAAGCTATGGAATCCGAAGCCCCGATGACAAAGAATCAAACTCTCAACGACATCATGAAACGATCCTCTTCTTCAAGCTCCGAGATAATTTCTCCCCTCCACTCGCCCCACTCACCTCTCCGATCCGATCACGGTGACCCTGACCCGGCCGAGCCCAAAAGGACACCCTCTCCTCATGTTTCTTCGGCGGCTTCCCCCGTCGACAACTGCAAGGCGCTCGTCATCGTCGACAAGCCCACCCAGTTCAAATCCAGTTCTTTCCCTTCTCCTTCGCCGCCGCTTTCCCCGACCACTCCACCGCAACAGCCGTCGAATTTGACAGTGAATCGAGCGGTGAGGGAGGAAGGACCGGGAATGACGACGAAGACGAAACTGAATGGTGAAGCGGGAGAAGGACGAGGAGCGAGGGCTGTGGCGACGGTGCTGAGGAGATCCAAGGTCAAGGAGACTCTGAAGATGGCGGCTCTAGGGTTTCGATTAAGTGAAATCGTTTTATGCTTGATATCTTTCTCCGTTATGGCTGCTGATAAAACTTCAGGCTGGAGCGGTGACTCTTTCGATCGCTATAAAGAATACAGGTTTTCATCTTTGTTATCGATAAATCAGCCATGATATTTTTTATAATTATGTTAATTTGGTGAAAATAGATGTTATAATTCTGGGATTTGTTCTTGTTCCCGTTCAATCATTTTGCTTAACAATTATGCATTTCTTAAGTTAAATACACATGTGTTCATCTATACTTTAACGTTGAAAACGATGAACTAGGTTACCAAATATTGCATTTGAGTAAATGCTCTTATTATAAATTCTATTAACTAATATTAAACAGAGTATCATTAGCAAAACCCTTCATTTAAGCGTGGACGAAAACGTTAGTATTTTATGTTTAGGAGTCGAACTTATAAAATTATAATTACGAAAACATATTATCAATAGAAAATATAAAGAAAAATACCATGCATTTAAGTATGTCGATTTAATGAATTACATTGCCCTTTTTCATTTACAGGTATTGTCTTTCCGTAACTGTGATTGGATTTGCATATGCTGGGTTTCAAGCCTATGCTCTAGCTTACTATCTCGTCTTTCAAAAACATGTCATCCGCCATCATCATCGTCAGCTGTTTGATTTCTCCTTGGATCAGGCAAGTTTTTCTTTTTTATAGAATACTTGTTGTAAATTAGCCACCATAGGTTCATTTTTAGTCGTTAATCATCCGTGGCATTCTGGTTTTCGGTGACATTTGTTGTCTTGATTAGCATGCAAGTTAAGTTTATGAGAATTCCCCTTTTGTGATCACAACAATTAGTCTTATCCAGTGATGGTGGGAGTGACAATTGGAAGTTTGGAACTCCATTTTCGTCCCTGTTTCCTTTGTTCTATTTGTATCACTATCTTCAGCCTTGGCTCCGTATGGTTTATGTCCAGAGAGATGCTAGAAACATCATGAAGGGGCTGAAATAGTAAACCTTATTAATCAGGTTGAGTTCCAGGTGTATATAAAAGGCTTAATTGAAAATAAGTGCCCAAATTATGCCTATTTTTTTTGCTTTAGGTGCCTAAAACTTTTTTGACCCATAATGTTTTATTTTGTTATCATTTTAAGGTCGATTTGTTAATATCCGTCAACAGAGTTCATCACCCAATTATTACTTGACACATGGCATAAAATATTTTATTTTCTCAAAATAAAAAACCTAAAATTCTTAATTTCTTAAGAAAAACTCTAAAATCTTTAGTTTCTAAGAAACCTCCTCCAAAATTCCTAAAATCCCATATGACGCCGAGCGCCACCTTGTCGCCGCATCAATGAAGTCTCCTCCTCCCGTTGCAAGAGTTGCAAGGCCCAGTTCATTACACCTCTCTTTTTTCAGCCGCACTCATCTTTCGTGGCACCTACCCTCATTCGTTGTTAGTGGCACCTCGTTCGTTGATTTGCAACTATAGAAGAGTGGGATAATTGGTAGTGAGGTCTGGCGACAGCCGCGACAGAAGGGTGGGCAGTGGTGGTTAATTCAGCAATAATACATGGAGCAGGAGAAGGGATTTTGGGGTTTCTTTTTGAGAGTATAGTGGTCTAAACAACTATAGTTTTTCTAAAAGAAATTAAAGGAAATTAAGAATTCATGTGTCATGCATGCATTGGGTGACGGAATTTTTTTATGGACGTTAACGGTTTGACTTTTAAATGGTAACAAAATAAAACCTTATTCATCTATTTTGACCAAAAAATTTCAGATATCTAAATGAAACAAGAAGTATAGTTTGGGTGCTTATATTTCAAATAAGCCTATATAAAACTGTTTTGAGTTATGCTTTGTTCGGGGTCAAGGCCCTATGTTGTCCAGTATTAGTCTATTATCATAATTAGATTTCCCATTTTCTTGATAAGTGGAGTTCATTGGACGTGCCTTTGCATCCAATATGCCAGTAAAATTGCGCAATATGCATGGATTCAAGTGTCATATAAGATATATATGGCTGTTTGAATGACAAAATTGTCCAGGTGCATTTATTCATATGTGCAATCACAAAATGCTGAAAGGGTATTGCTTGCTTGTTTGGTTCTATCTTGCAGATACTAGCCTATTTGTTGCTTTCAGCATCATCTGCAGCGGCCACGCGGGTCGACGAGTGGCAAACTAGTTGGGGAAAAGATGAATTCACAGAGATGGCTAGTGCCTCAGTTTCAATGGCCTTTCTGGGTTTTATTGCATTTGCATTTAGCGCGCTTTTATCTGGTTACCAACTCTGTACCAATGAATCTGCGTGATCCCTGATGTGGTATCAAAATCACAACACAATCGGTTTTCATTATCGTACAAGGAAGAACATATTTTCCTCTAAAAAGTTAACAATGTATATATAGTTGCAAGCAGTCGTTTTTCAAGGTTTAATGAACTAGGAAAGTGATCTATTCTGGTAAGAACGACACTAAGGAGATGCTTGTGTCTAAGAAGACAAATAGGACCAAACTGCTCCCACTTGAATGTTTTCTACCTGCTAAATAATACAGGTTTATGAGTAACATAATACATATTAATTTATATTATTATTTTTTAATATTTCCAATTTAATATTGAATATGTTTTTATATGATATATATTTTATAAAATTTATTTATGTAGTGATTACTCTATTACACACTGACACTTCAACCTATTTTAACGTTTATATTATAGATTATGAATTAATTCTATGCAACGTAAAATGTATAAGTAACATAATATATATTATATTATAAACTTATAAAATGAGTCAGATTTGACTGTAAATATTCGAGTTCAAATTCGATTTATAATTTAAATGAAACAAAAATTTTATCTAATTTTTTTTTTTCATTTTAATATTCTTGTCCAAATCTTTTAAAATATTAAATAATTTTTTTAGCTTGAATAAATGACTTGATCTTTAAATAAAGTCTGATTTATAATAACCATGACAAGGCCATGATTATTTTGCAGCCTAAAAATCTAGAAATTTATAAATTGAAAAACAATATTTAATAAAATATAATCTCAAATTATTTGAAAAATGTACTTCAGTTTTAATGAAAGCGTTGTTATTGTGAGAACAAAACCAGGGAGATGCTTGTGTGTAAACAGACAAAGATGAACAAGATGCTCCCACTTAAATTACATGATACCTACTGAACAAGTATCTGTAAGGAATATCATAGCCAGCAATAATATGGACACTATGTGAGCGTGTATTTTTTAATTGAGCAACATTATTATTTTAAAGAGAAACATTCCGTTTATTAATTAATAAAGGTATATTATTTTTTAAGATTTTTCATTTGATATGCCAATATTGAAAAAATAATTTTATAAGTGGTGTTTAAATGATATTAAATTTATTTTAAGTTGTTTTAAAAAAATTAAATTACAAAAGAATAGAGCACTTAATACCATGAACATCACTTATAAAAATATTTTTTCACCAATAATATATCAAATACTAATAAAATTTGTAATTTATTAGTCATTTGTTATTTTATTTGAAAATTTTATATAAAAGTATAAAAGAAAATATTAATAAATTTGAATTTTAAGTAGAGATTTTTAATTATTTTATTTTTAAAGAATACATATACATATGAATATAAAATATTTTTATTATAATATTAATTATAATTTATAATAAAAATATTTTACAATATTATTTTTAATTATATTAAAATTTAATTAATTGATTTATTACGATTAAAAAGGACACCGCTTTACTCATTCATCAAAGTCTTAAAAGTCTAAAGCACCACTTATCCATGTATTAATAATGTTACCGCCCCACTTCTTCCACTGCCTAACTATATTTATATTTAGATTGCACCGAAATTTGGAAAGGTAAAGTAAACAAATCGTTACTGATAATAAGGAGATGTTACGTTAAGTTTTCGATTATTAAAAATTATAAATAATTTTTAATTATAAAATATTATTTTGTTAAAATTTTCGATTATTAAAAGTTACAAAATAGTTATCTGATTATTCATATATTTATAATCCTTCATTTTCGGTTAAAAATGACGATAGTCTGAGTTATACGTTAGCCTGTTCAGTGAGATATAATAAAATATAATCCAAAAATCTTAAACGATTATCATATCTCAATCAACATATTAATGTCCAACTCAGACGACCGTCAATTTTTTAACGGAAAATGACGAGTTTAGAACATATGAATAGTTAAGTGATTGTTTTGTAACTTTTAATTGTTAAGCGACTAAACAAAACAATGTTCTATCATCGAAATACTATTTGTATACTTTACCCAATTTGAAATTAATTTTAACTCAATTAACATTTAGGTTGAGTTTGATTATTATAAAATATAATTATTCTTATAATAATAACAATAACAATAACAACAACAATAATAATAAATTATATTCTTTTGTATATGATTGGCAATAAAATTTGAAAATATTGTAGACATAATTTTTCTAAAATACAAGTGTTAAATAACTGTCCGAACTCAGGACCTCTCATAAAAACAATATTATTTTTTACTATTTAAGCTATTTAATGAGTTTTATAATATATTTATTATTTAAATATAGTATATAAATTCTTTTTATTTAAAAATCAATTATAAATAAAATATTTCATTCTCATGTTTACAAAAGTATTAATCATATTAACATTTTAAACACTAACAATTAATCTTAGTTAATTCTTTATTAGTTGTTAATAATATGTGAATTAATTTGAACAGACTATCCTCCACTTGCTAATCCCTCCCATCCCCACACACATTTAAAACAATTTATTTTTGGGAACATATTTATACCAATTTATGTACTTTCCAAATAGGATTTTAACAGATAAACAATTTGTTATTTGATTTATGGCCACAATTCCAATTTAATAATTTAATATATTTATAGTTATAATCAAAATAAATCATCTAAATTTAATGTCCCACCTGTGATATCATGTATGACATCGAATTGAATCAGATATAATTTTTAATTAATTTAATTTGAATTCACACGAGTTTCATTTGATTTAAAATTTGATATGAATTTTAAGTTAAAAACTCATATTTAATTTAATTCGACACAAATATAAAGAATATTTTTTTTATTTTTATTTGAAAATATAAAGACTTAAATAAAATATGATTATATGGAGATAAATACTTGAATCGAATAGATTTGACTCGAGTTCTTAACGAACCAAAAAGAGTTACTTTATACTCGATTCGAAAAGCTCTAGAAACTCAAAAAATAATATATTAAAATTTTATTTTTTAATAATTAAATAATTAATAATATTAATATTTATATATTGATTTTTTTTAAATGCAATATAAATGTACTTAAGATTCAAGTTCGATTCGAGTTTGTATTTCGAACTTTTTTTTAGCTTCATTTCATAATTTAAAATTCGAATCGAGCTTAAAATTTTTGACTCACAAATTTTCAAACCGAGATAAATTCCATTTCAAAATTTTCGAATTTAATCGAAATCGACTGAACTCGTTTATATCTCTGTCAATTGCTTTAAAATTCAATCTTATCAAACTAAATTAAATTAGAATATATTAAATTCGAGTTAAATTACCATTCATTTGTCCTACTGCCTAACTATATATGCTAGCAGACCACACCACTCTCTGCCACTTCCCAAACTCCTCCACCTCCACACATTTATACCAATTTTCTATTCAAAGAGTTCTCAGTTTTTTTTCTTCTTCTTTTGACACCCCACTCTTCCATTTCTCCAAAGTCTAACCTGGTGGGCTTTTCCTTTCCAATTTGTAGTTGAAAGTTAGTTCCTTTTCACAGTTTTCATGGCGTTGAGTTTGGTTTCTCATCCTGAAGTAAACTCTATCTCCTTCTTGGGTTCCACCAAGTCCAACTCCATCCCCAAGCTATTTCCAGGTCTGTTTCTTCTCCCTCTCTGTTTGGTTTCCTAGAAACCTGGAAAGTTGTTTCGTTTTGTTTAGAACTTTGAAAATGCTTCTCTTTTGGCTTATTGGGTTTGGATTCACAGTTCTAAATATTGTTATTTTTGTGAAATTTTAAGGGGGTTTTGTTTTGAAGAAGGACTGTGGTACAGCGTTTTGGAAGAGAGTTCAATGTTCAATTCAGGCTCCACAACCACCACCTGCATGGCCTGGACGAGCTTTTCCAGAACCCGGACTCAAGACTTGGGATGGCCCCAAGCCTATCTCCATCGTTGGCTCAACTGGATCTATTGGAACTCAGGTGAAAAGGGGGAGAAAAAAATGAAAACTTTTAACCTATGACATGCTAAAAGTAGTTTTTTGGCCTTTTGCAAGGATAGATTTTATGTTAGGGGTTGAACTTATACAATTTTAGAAGGGACAAACTTATATAAATTTTGAAGGGGGGGAAACATGTTGATCGAAAACATATTATCAATATAAAATACAAAGAAAAAAATCTGAAGTATATGAGAATTTTAAAATTTTAAGCTGACTGCCCTCGCCTGCCCCCCTTCGGTCCATCACCGGCCATGTGCCCTTGTAGATTTTCTGCTCCAATTTGAGGATTGCATGTTCTGTTTAGCACTTGATCAAGATCTTTAGAGTCACACATAATTTGGTGTTTTGTAGACGTTGGACATAGTTGCTGAGAATCCAGATAAATTCAGAGTTGTGGCGCTTGCTGCTGGTTCAAATGTCACCCTTCTTGCTGATCAGGTAACTTTCGGTTTTATCATGTTACAACAACTTGTAAAGAATTATTTGTTTCGAACTTGCATGCAAATCGTTTGGAGATGTCGAACTCGGACTCGAGTAGCTTGATTCATGGACTAACAAATTTTGGCGTCATAATCTCATATAAAATGGTTTCAGCATATGCTTGAAAGTGTTGCTTATCGACATACTAGAGGCTGATAAACTTTGCTAAAATGAATTTAAAATATGATTCAAGTTTTTGCTTAAATGAATAGGGAGTATAAACTTTGAGGGCTGATAATTTTTCTTCTTGTTACAGGTTAAGACATTCAAACCCCAATTGGTCGCTGTTAGAAATGAATCTTTGGTAAGTGAATTGAAAGAGGCATTGGCTGATATGGAACAAAAGCCCGAGATTATTCCTGGGGAACAAGGTGTTATAGAGGTAGCCTGTCATATAATTCATTGATTCTTTTATTTATCTAGACAAAGCAACTTTTAGTATTTACATTGTTTGGCTTAAATTTTTCCAGGTTGCTCGCCATCCGGATGCTGTCAGTGTAGTTACCGGGATAGTAGGCTGTGCGGGGTTGAAGGTACGCACTGATATCTGCTTTCTCTGTGTACAACTTTCTTTGCATCCACTAAACTAAGTATGTCCAAGATATTATGAACTACGGTTCACCGTCAACCATTAGAATATGCCTTAAAAAGAGAAGCAAACAGTTTGTTGTTTATTAGTATATAATTTAAGCTTTGCTAAAATCTCCTCCTTTCGTTTTTGGTCTATTGTAGCCTACGGTTGCTGCAATAGAAGCAGGCAAAGATATTGCTTTGGCCAATAAAGAGACGTTGATCGCTGGTGGCCCCTTTGTCCTTCCTCTTGCTCACAAACATAAAGTAAAGATCCTTCCAGCTGATTCTGAACATTCTGCCATATTTCAGGTATGGAACTATAACACAATGAGTAAGATTATATGAAAATTTCTAGTAGTTCGGAATTCTTAGCCAATTATGTTGTTTTCATAACAATAGTTGGGTGTCTTCGCTCTTTTCTTGGCGTAACTCTTGTTGCATCAACTTGTGTGACCTGTCATTTATTGCTTTAACTCATTCTTAATAATACAGAACAAGCTCATCATAGAATCTTGTGTTTCTTACAGTGTATTCAGGGATTACCAGAGGGTGCACTTCGGCGTATTATTTTGACAGCATCCGGTGGGGCTTTCAGGTGTATAGTCATAATTTAAGTTAGAACGATTAAGTTTATAAGTTGAGAGTCTGATATAGTGAACCGCTTACTCGCAGACATCTCCTCACTTTCTTTCTTCAGTTTAAAAGAAATTGAAGTTTGACATTATTAAAACTAGGCTTGAGGGTGCATAAACATGACATTTTGAACAATTTGCTCGTTTTGTTTCTCGTAGGGATTGGCCTGTCGATAAATTAAAAGAAGTTAAAGTAGCTGATGCTTTGAAGCATCCTAACTGGAATATGGGGAAAAAGATTACTGTGGATTCTGCTACCCTTTTCAATAAGGTTTAGTTTTATCAAATTTCTCATTTGAAATTATTCATGTTGTACTTTTTAATATTGCATGTTATCGTTTAGATGTTACCCTGGTCTAGATTACTAGCATGAAGCAGTTTCTCTGTTCGACAGGGTCTCGAAGTCATTGAAGCTCATTACCTATTTGGAGCTGAGTATGATAATATCGAGATAGTAATTCATCCGCAGTCTATTATACATTCAATGGTTGAAACACAGGTTTTACTCTTAATTATATCTTGTTGGCTACTGCTCAGTGATGATGCCACAAATATTACGTTGTTCACCGTTCACCTTTTAGTTTGTGCTGGAGCTGTGCCCTTGAATTGCATAGTACAGATTTGAATTCGATTTTCATATCCTATTTTTATTTTTTCATTTTCTTATGTTTAAGGATTCGTCAGTGCTAGCTCAGTTGGGATGGCCAGATATGCGCTTGCCGATCCTCTACACTATGTCGTGGCCAGAAAGAATTTACTGCTCTGAAATAACTTGGCCTCGCCTTGATCTTTGCAAGTAACCAGCTCGTCTCCTTTCAAAATTTACTTCACAACTGATTTAAGTTTTCAAGCTTCGATCGGTTTTCATTCGGTTTACATTTTACAATAACAGTTAAATGCATTGCCACCATACTCATGAGCTAAGTTGGTTGATGGATGATACAGGCTTGGTTCACTAACTTTTAAGGCTCCCGACAACGTGAAATACCCGTCCATGAGTCTTGCCTATGCAGCCGGAAGGGCTGGAGGCACCATGACAGGAGTTCTTAGTGCAGCTAACGAGAAAGCTGTGGAACTGTTCATCGATGAAAAGTAGGTATATTTTATCCCGATGTCTCCTGTTGCTTCCGTTTCTGGGTTCTGGCGTCTAACGAACGCTTATCATGGATGCTGATGACTTGGAGCTAATAAATTTGTTTTACCCAATTTCAGGATCAGCTATTTGGACATATTCAAGGTGGTGGAGTTGACTTGTGAGAAGCACCAAGAAGAACTTGTGGCCACTCCTTCCCTAGAGGAGATTATACATTATGACCTGTGGGCTCGAGACTATGCTGCCGGAGTGCAACAATCATCTGGATTGAGTCCCGTTCCAGCATAAGTCGATGGGGTTGCTCAGGTGAATACCATTCGATCTCTTTTCCATGTGTTTCGATATCCGCTTATTACATGCTTGGTTTCCTAAAAGATTTCTCCCCTGCACCGCCAGACTGAACTGACAATGGCTCTATCGCGATGACCCGGAAGTAGTCGATTTATGCCGAAGGCTGCAGTGAGCAATTGTATCATACATTATATAATATGAAGATGAAGCACTTGAGTGTAAACATACATAGTCTCCGATTTTATGGGAATTAATAAGAATTTGGAGTCAAATTTTAAGGTGCTCAATGTGTAAATTATACTTGAAAATTATAAATTTAATTAGTAAAAACAATGAAAACCCTAATATGACATCGTATAAATTGCGGCTCGAAATGGGTCCAAAATATTTCACAGGCACTTGATAACCTAATTCTAAAGATAATTTTTCTATTTTGATAATTAAATTATTATTTTTTATTTTGTTCACTACTTGTTAAATCTCACAGTTGTCATCATTTTATTAGTTCAAATAAAATCATTAAAAAGAAAATAATATAAAAAACAATTGATGACTATAGTAATGGTTTTATCAAATAAACTGTTAAATTTTTAATGATTGATAATCAAAATAAAAAAAATAACTGTAGTAATGGTTTTATCAAAAAAATAATTTGATGATCAAAATATAAAAGTAATGATAAATTGATGACTAATGATGTAGTTTACCCAATATAACTCAGGTAGCAAGCATATATTCAACATTGTGTCCCCCCTCAGCACCTAATTAGAACCTCATAGCCCAAAACCGTAGGAATTTTTAGTCTCCAATCTTTCTCTTCCGAGGCTCAAAACCAAAGGGGTAGAAGGTTGAAGACAATGGCATCAAATTTGAGAGGAAAGACTTCTATCATTTCCAATGCCCTAACGAGAAAACGTCCTGATGGGGCCTTCTATGCCGTTTCCAACCAATCCCTCCCGCCAAAGCATTGGGTACCATCTTCTTCCTTCTATATCTCCACCTCCGCTGATACTGCTGCTGCTGCTGCTTCTTCCTCTTCTTCATTCCAATCTCATCATGGTATTTAGACTTATCAAATTTTTCTTCACGTGGGGAGTGTTTTAGAGTTTAATGAGGGAATATTTGCCGTCTTCATTTGTTGATCTTTGGCAGATAAAGAGAAAGGATCAAATTGGTCAAGATGGTTTCTTTTCCTTCCAGGAGCTATCACTTTCGGCCTTGGAACCTGGCAGATTTTCAGAAGGCAAGACAAGGTCAACTTCCTTTTCTTTTACACTTCCATTCATTCTCTTGCATTTTCTTGTGTTTGCCTGCTTCTGTATTTTGTTTTTCAAAGTTTTAACATTGACTACCATTTTAGTGAGTTTGAATTGCTCTAGGAATGGGTCAAGTATAATGCTCTTGATTGTAGTGAGTTTTTTAATATCAATGTCGAAATTGATTATTTGAAGAAACAAGGCTCAAACCAATCATAATGGTTCTGAATTCCATCGAGAGTTGGGGATTTTCTAGCAGAGTTTCTTGATTAGAAATGATAGGATGTTCTATTACTATTTAATTGAATTTGTTGGGTGAACACAATTAAAATTAGACAAGTGTTCTAATAGGAGAAGGATATCTAGGTGTCTGTCTACAGTATGCTTTTAGGCTTTGTGCAAATCAGGCGCCACTTTGCCTGGACTTTGCAGAAGTTCCAGTGTTTCTATCTCTTTTCCTAGACATATTCAGACATGGTATGCCGAATGGGATACGATTCTCCAAATATATGGAAAAGCTTAAAATAAATTGAGCATATATGTGTGGTATACATATTTGTATCAGACATACAACCCAAGTCCAGCTAAAACAGTCAAGCACTGAGACAATAGTAGTGCAAGGTGTTTTTATGAAAAAAGAAATATACTCCTAAAGGTGCTATTATTTACATTTACACTTGAAATTTGGAAGATTAATAATTCATATTTGTGTTCCATTTTTACTTTCTATTTCTGGCATAAAATACTTTTGTGATGTAGATAAACCATTTGAATGAATAAAATACTCTAAGAAAGCAAATGCATAAATGAACGATATACAATTTAGCATATATTTTCTATTATTTCACTAATCTTCTTTATTTATATGCCATAAACTTTATAAGCATAATCATCTGTCATTTTCAATGGATCATAACACTTAAGCCATGCTTTAATTTCACTAATTTTCTTTATTTATATGCCATAAACTTTATATAAGCATAATCATCTGTCATTTTCAGGTTTATGCTGCAAGAGTCCATAAAAGTCCTTTTCCTTGTGTCTAACTGGAATGTTTCATCTTTTAGAAACGTGTCCGCTCAACTTGTTGCACATGTTGTTCTCATCTGTATTCCCTTGATTGCAGTTTTTAGGATTGTTTCAGTTTTTTTCTTTGTTTTTTTTTCAGAATAGCATGCTTATAACTTATTCATTATGCTTCATACAGATAAAGATGCTAGATTACAGACAGAAAAGGTTGGAAATGGAACCTTTGAAACTAAATAACATGTCTCCTTCAAATGAGATATTGGAAACTTTGGAGTTCAGGCGAGTTGTGTGCAAAGGAGTTTTTGACAATGGAAGGTCAATCTATATTGGGCCTCGTTCTAGAAGTATTTCTGGAGTGACTGAAAATGGCTACTATGTCATTACACCCCTAATGCCAATCTCGTGCAGTGCTGAGAGGTAATTAACGTTAATTTTCTATTCAATAAATATTATTGTCAACTTTTGTATTTCCAGATCTATCCTAAACACCTTATCATTAATTTCCTCTTTTCTCTTCATTTGATATCATCTTTAAGCATATTTATGGGAATGAGTAGAGAAGAGAATGCATAGTAATGGAGATAACATGTAAAAGACAGTTAATTTGGGTTCTTTAGTTAAGGTTAGATCACGCTTTTACTGCTTTCCTTGGCTGAGTAAACATGTCCTGGAGAATCACAATGGTATAACAGACATTGCATGATTCATTAGAATTATATTACGTATTTATGGCTGAACCTCTCATCTAAGGCCATTGCTTCTGGACAAGCTTTACATTTTCACTAGTGGGCCCCTCTGTGATCCCTTAGACCCCATTTAAACTTATTGTCATGTGTTAAAAACCCTTTTTTAAATGTTTCAAAAGAAATCCGTCTTTATGGGATTTAGGTGCTTCAATTTTGTGTCATTTTACTCTCCGCACACCTGAACACACACTCACATACAAACAAGTAAATAAAGTATGAAAAAAAACAAAGTCTAGAAAGTGTTGGTTTTTGTTGCTTTGCTCTAGGCTTTGGTCACAAAATAGTGAGCTAAGCTGCAAGCTGGAATGCGTAAGTCTTGAAGATACTACCTTACCTTTGAAGCTTAAATTGTTTTTGGGTGCTGGACTTCATATTCTTATCTGATGCATGGGATTGCTTACTATGTTTCCATTTGACTAATTTAGATGCACTTTCAGTGTGCAGTCACCAGTTCTTGTAAATAGAGGATGGGTTCCTCTGGAGAGACAAATCTTTTGAAGTTCCACAAGCCGGGGAGAAATCTTCAAGTATGAATGCTGTTCCTGCCCAAGGGAATGAACAAAGCTGGTGGAGAATGTTTAGGACTAAGAACCAAAAAGCTGTTGAGGTTGTCTATCATCCCTTAATTTCTTGGTTGATACCAATGACATATCTTAGGAGAAAAAGTTTTTCTTTTTTTGGAATATAGGATCAAGCCCCTGCTATTACTTCTGTGGAAGTTACTGGAGTTGTCCGGGGGAGTGAAAAGCCAAGCATATTTGTTCCTGCAAATGATCCAAATTCTGGACAGTGGTTCTATGTTGACGTTCCTGCAATTGCTGTTGCTTGTGGGCTTCCAAAGGAGACTCTTTTAATTGAAGACATCAATGAAAATGTTGATCCGAGCAACCCTTATCCTGTTCCAAAGGATGTCAATGCCTTGATTCACAGTTCAGTTATGCCTCAAGATCACCTAAATTATACATTGACATGGTATGAGTCACTATATTATATGATCCAAAATATTGTCCCTGCAGATATAGTTCCTTTGTTAGCGATATTTGCGGATATTTTATATTATTCTGCATGCTCGTCCCCTCTCCTTCCAGCATTAGAATTTTTTTTTATTTTCTTGTGATTGCGTTGAAGGTGGGCAAACAGTTGGTCTATATCTTATTTTGAAGGGAAAAATAAGGTAATACATAAAATACTTTATTTCTAATTAGAATTTAAACAAATCTGAATTAGCAAATTTAAATAATGAATATATTATATGAACTGAATTAAGCAATGTAAATATATTGCTGAAAACTCAAGAGTTGAGTTAATTATTATCATTTATATATTTTTGTTGTGAAATAAAATTTTGTACTAATTCAATTTTGCAACTTTTGGAAAAAGATTGCCTCTTCCTTTGGAAATCAAAAGGAAGTGATGCCTGTTGCTTTAAACTGCATTTGGCTTAACACAATTTCTGCAAATTAATTCCTTTTTTTCTTCGTTCATTATTTGATTGATCTTTTTAAGTTTTGACTGCTTGATAAAAATTGATTCTTATCGGTACAACATTATCTTGGTGCAAATGCCTTGTTTATACCTCAAGGCAACTTAAAGCTGCCATGCATGGAGACACACTATACATGCTTCAAATGTTCTTTTAATATATTTATGTTTTTATTGTCATGATGTTTAGGACTAATAGACCATATACTTAATATTTGTGTCTCTCTTTGGAAACGCCCTATTGAACCTTTCAAGTTTATGGGTTGAGTTCAATGCTAATTACTTGTTTTTGAAGTAGATTTAAGATCTGGTATGCTTTTGTATGTTTACTTAGTTATCATAATTGTTTTTTTAGCATCAATTTGTTCTGGGAGATTTTTCCATATTGAGGAAAGAATTTTGCTTCCACTGATAATTTGGATGTTAATATATTTTGAGGTTGTTTTGTTCGGAAGCATTCTTGAGGTGAAATAGACTGAGTTAGCTTCATATTCATGAATTTTACTCTATTAATGAGCACATGATTTCCGATAACTTCTTGCTCCCTCTTCTTAAAATTCAAATTCACACTATGATTATCATGATATAGTATTTTCAGCTGTTTCCCTATATCATAATTCTGTCTTCAGTGAATGCGAGCTTTTCATTTTGTAGAAATGTGCAGAAGTTAGTTGCATTTGGGTTGAGAATCAGTTATGCATCAAGGATTTTCACACACATACGCATACTTTTTTTTGGTAGTTTTGAATGGGAGGAGCCTTTCAAAGC